TTGCGATCCCGTTGCCGGTCCCCGGTCCGGTACAGGGGCAACACTGAGGGTTGCGATCCGTTGCCGGACACGGAAAAAAAAATAAAATAAAATAAAATAAAAGAGATAACTAAAATAGAAGTAATATATAATGAATAATGCAATTTGTAATAAAATAATATGTATCTCAATCTGTTTAGACATGATTACGATAGAACACATAGTGACTGAAGTAGTCTGATGCTTGTACCCATGTGTTGAATCACTGTGCATCTTACAGCTACTACAAATGCATAGTGATTCAGGTGTGTTATATCGGGACTTGTGGGAAATACCACAAGTTTGAATAATTCCTGTGAAGTTCCAAACAAGACAAAATACAATCTCCTCTAGAATTACATGGAGTTGTCTTACTGGAAATTTCAGATATTAAAACTATCAAAAATATTTTGCTTTATATATAATTATAAGGTTTTTCCATCTACTCAGGTGTCTGGTGGACACTTGAAAGTCGCACAGGTCACAGGCCAGTTTTTTGTTATGTAGGAATGTCTTGAGCATTGCAGGATATCTAGAATACCTGGTTCCTGCCTGCAAAACGTCAGTAGTTCTCCCTGGTCATTGTGGCAACAAAAGAGTACCTACTCAGATTTCCGAAATATCTTCATAATGGGTAGTTGAGAACTATTAGTTTAGATTATTGATACAATAGAATATTATTCATCTATTAAAAAGAACAAGGAAGATCTGTGTGTACTGTCATGAAAATGTCCACAAGTGAAAAAAAAGGCTACAAAACACGGTGTATAGTTTCCTGCTTTTGTTAAAATAAATACATACACACACATATACATAGAAGAAAGGGTAGAGAAGTATTTTTCAAAATGTTAATAGTGGATGACATGCTTTATACTTTTATTGTCTGAAAGTTTAAGAACTATAAATCGGATTACTTTTACAAAATAATTGCTTCTTGATCTAAGGGTTTAAAAACCCTTTGGTTGATGGCTAATGCTTTTTTTTTGAAGAAAGTTTGAGGAAAGAGAAGCAAGCTTATATTATTAAAATAACAGGAAGTGAGAAAGAGGGTAATTTGGTAAAAAAAAAAAATTGGCATCTAGCACTTAATATAAAATGATTTTTGTTCTTCCATATTAAAATTTAAAATGGGGGTGGGGGGATGCTGGCCAGATAGCTCAGCTGGTTAGAGCGGTGCCAATAACACCAAGGTTCAGGCTTTAATCCCTGTTCAGGTACCACCCTACTGCTGCCACCGTACCCCCCTACACACACCAATTTTTTAAAACGAGAGAAGTGGAGTAGTTGCTATTCCATATATTTAATTGGAAGCTACTGCCAAGAGGGGTACATTTCTTTTGTTTTTGTTGTGGCTGGCCGGTAAGGGGATCCTAACCCTTGACCTTGGTGTTATAACCGTG